TCAATCAGCTTGTAGACTCGTCCTTTTTTCCTTACCTTTCAACCCTAGCAACAGAACAGTCTATATCTTACGCCTACGTACGGAAAACTTCAACCAATTAAAACTGCACTAAGCGAAACAAACAATCTCATTGGTTCATTACTGAAAGTTCACGTGCAGAACGAAATTGCGCCAAAACTCAAGTGAGCCACCTTCGGACTTTCAGACCTTATAAAAATAAACGCTGACCGCCCCAGGCAGTCTGTAACATACACCCACGAAGAACTAGTCAAAATACTCCACGTCACTCGAAATCACGATTTCGCGCAAAGATACATCATCGCTGACTCATTCCCGATCGAAAACTGAATCAACTCTGTGGATATCAATTCTCAACATTGCTTATCTAAAGTGAATCATATTCGCTACCTATTAAGTAAACATCAACGTACGAACGCCCTTAAAAAAAATTACATTACAGTTAAAGGTAGATCACTCTTAAAAACTCCTAAAAAAGACACTTAATATCGACAATTATTAATATCAACACAAACTTAAAAAGACTGTAAATGAACGAACTATTACAGAGACATTCTGAAATCAAAAAGCCTCATACACATTTCGCCAACATAACATATATCAATTATCCTGTTTGTATATTGTTTCTGAATTGTATATAAATGTTGTATTAATTTCTAATTGAATATGTCTCGTTCTTAATCGTATTTTAAATTTCGTTTATTTATTTGTTGTGGATGCAGAAAGTCACGCAACCCACACAAATTCCTTCTGATTCTTTCAAGCATAATTAATAAATTCTGCACGTCCCCAACAAGCTCCTATTAGACCCTTAGGGTTAAATCTTGAATGTCCCATTTTTTCAGGGTCAAATTCTTGATATTTTTTAATTCAGGACCTTCTTCGGACGGTTTGAATTTTGTGCATCTAACTTGGGAAAGGCAGACAGGATGCTTCTTTTGAAATCCAAGTTGGGAGGGCAGGCATTTGACCTCGTCTCCAGCTTGGATATAACTCCAGAAAATTATGACCTAGCTTTGGCTGGTTTAAAGGATAAATACTTAAATCCGTCGTTGATTAAAAATCGAATATTTGAGGAAATTATTCCTCCTTCTGAACGGATAACTCGTTTTAAGGAATTAAAAGTTTTTCTTGGACGAGCGAAACTCGATTTAACTGAGTTAGATAAGTCCTTCGGGACAGATTTTTTCGTAGATAATTCTACATCTGGGGCCATTATGGCCCACATCCTATTCAATAAATTCCCTAACAGTGTGAGAAGGGAAGTAATGAATAAATCTGATGAGAGATTTCCCTCTCTATATTCCATTATGTCTTTTACTTTCGACATAATTGATATCTTAATGGCGTCTCCTTTGGATGAAAAAAGGCGGGAATACTGCTCATTCAATATGGCGGCTCCTCCTTCTTCGGGACACAAGGCCAACATGGCGGCAGGGTCTTACTCCAAGTCCGCTAATATAAAGAAGGGCATGAATACCTTCAAATCTCCCGCTAATAATGGCGAAGTCTTTAAAACCTGTAAATTATGCAACGCTACGGATCATTCTGTTAAGGAGTGTACCAAATATCAGGCCTTCGAAGATAAATTTCAGAGGGCCAAGGAACTTAATTTGTGTAACAAGTGCCTAGGTGGACACTTGGATTCGCATTGCAAAGGGATTAAGGGATTCCCTTACCCTTGCACTTTTTGTGGGCTTAAGAATCACTATTCTATTATGTGCCCTAAAAGTCCAAAATCCTGTGTTGGAAGGACTACCTTAACGGGGTAGGGAAACTGCATTTTCCCTGTTCTCAAAATTTCTATGAGGGTAAATAAACACCCCGTTTACTTCTACTGCCTTTTAGATACAGGCAGCCAGAGATCTTTTTTTTCACAGGCTATTTTAACCCAGTTAAATTCCGGGGTAAAATTTAAACCCAGATCGGTTGAGATGCCTGGAAATACTATGATTGGGAGTAGTTCCTTAAACCTGCAGGAATACAATGTATCCCTTAAATTATGGTTTCAAAAACCCTTTTTATTTCCGGCTTTATTTGCTGGGGATCTGAATCTGAGGTTCAATGTGGACAGGTTTGACGAAATAACCTCTAACTTAACTAAGGAAGGTTTTCGTCTCTGTCCAGGTTATAGGGACCTAAATGTGTCTGCTATTAATGGCATCATTGGATTAGACTTGATTCAACGGATTAATAATCTCCGCTGGATCCGATGCCTAGGTGGTAGCGCTTGGAAAATCTCCAAGTATGTAATTCCCTTTGGGGAAGTAAGAACGTTTTTATCACATAATCCTGTTAAGGAAGAGTTGCCTCCCTTTGATCAGGTGGTGAATTCACTCCCTCCTTGTCATTCTTATTTGATTGACAGCGTTTTGAATCCTGTCCATTCGTACGAGGATGCACTTCAGCCTTTCTTCTGTGAATCGTCGGTCGAACGTGGGATAGAGAAATTTCTTTCTCTCGATTCCATAGGGGTCGATGAAGACAGAAAGTTGTCTTCCCTAGATGAAGAAGAGGATAAAGAAATTTGAGGAGTCTATCGTTCTTAAGGACGGTAGATACTATATTGATCTACCTTGGGACTACGAGAAGCTTTCTCGTGTTGAGTCCAACTATGTGCCTTCTCTGAGAATAATGCAGAGAGTGGCGGAGTCCTTAAACAGGAAGGGACTGTACGATGATTATTTAAAAGTCTTCAATGAGTACGAAGACTGTGGCATAATTGAACCATTCTCGGTCCTGCCAGGGACTTACGAGAATTATATTTGGGTCCCCCATAGACCTGAAATCAAGGAAGGTCAAGGGGTAACTACAAAAATCCCCCCCGTCTTCAACTGTTCGTTGAAGAGACGGGGGGTACCTCAATCAATGACGCCGCTTATTATGGCGTTAATCTCATTGCTCAATTATTGGATTTATTGTTAACGTTACGAAAGAATAATTATGTTCTTCTGGGCGATTTGCCCTACTTGTTCCGTTGCTAATGACGGATTAGCTCCCATGGTGTGCTGTGACTCATGTGATAACTGGTATCACTTTAGCTGTGTTGAAATTAATCAGCAGGACACTGTGGGGGAGTGGTTTTGTCCGAACTGTACGGACAAAATTTCACAACCCTATCCATCCCACACTTGTGGTTATTAGACTTAAGTAAAAGTCACCCCCCCTTTTTATATAGATGTGCTGATCTAAATATCTAGAATATTGTTGCAATTTAATTAACAACAGACAAGGCCAGCATATTCAAAATTAATAATATTAATAATAACTTAATATTCAACAGTTAAGTCCCTAGGGACAACCTTGTTACCTGTCACCTATTGACAGTCTTATTTACATTATCTTTATTGAAAAAAAAAAAGTAATGATTAACCATTACTTTTTCCTTTCTTCCTTGGCAGTGTGTAAGAAATTCTGCAATTTAAGCGCCTATTAGCTGATTTGTAACGACCAATTTCATTGGTCGAATTTTGACTTTTTTTTTTTTTTTTTTCGCGGGCATTTTTAACGGCCCGTGCCCCTTTTGATTCAGTGGCGGATTAGTATTGGATGAGTCCGGACTCATTTTGAATCTATTTGACAGGGCCTTGAGTGCTCAAGCCTAAATAATTAGGCATTGATTGTTCTTCAGCAACCAAAATGGTAATGCTTCAGAGACAGTTGCGACAAATTATTAGAAATGTCCGGGCTCATTTTTTAATATCTTTGCGGGGCTATTTGCGCCCAAGAACAAGCCTAAATAATTAGGCTATGATTCCTTTCAGCAACCAAATGGTAATGCTTCAGAGACGACTTCATGTCCCAGCTTAATTCCTTCAAGGCTGTAGAATTCAGTCTAAATGACTGTCGTCAAATGTGTACGTTTACACGAAGAACTTTACGAACGATCTCGACAACAGCCGAGTTTCAACTCCTGCAACGACCAGCTAATACCAGCTTCTCCAACTTCGTAGAGAACAATTGTGTCCTACTGAAGTAAAAGACACTACCTATTCATTGGAGAACTACCCTACCCTGTTCCCAGAGGCAAAAAAGGGCAAAATCTTTTTTTGCAAGGATACAATAAAATTTGTTTTAAGTTTTAAGGTAGGCCTTGTTGAATTGTTTGTCTTTCTTGTCTCTGCCAAGGGTTGAACTGTGTGAGAAGAAATTCTCACACAGTTATGGTGTCGTTTGTACTCTTTCTTGCACCAGCTGAGTGCAGCCACTGATAATGTGTTGCACACTTTCAGTAGGTTTTCTGTACAGCCTGCACAAAAGTTTATCAGCTGTTTTATCAATAGAATATTTGATGAAATTTATTATTATTATGTTGTTGCTATTGCTGTTGCATTTTATTCACTTACGTGCAAATACTCGCCCCCCCCCAACTATAGCTAAATAGTAGCACAGACTTGGTTCTATAGCCTTGGGTGGCAACCAGTCTAGAAGAAAAACTTTGAATTCAAAACTCTTTTCTCGCACTCCTCGATTGTGGAACTCCTTTCCGACTTGATGCTTTCCAGCCAACTTAAATCTGCAAAAATTTAAAATAAATGCAATGCCAATCGCTATACTCTCATCCTCTTTCTATTTTCCGATCATTATTAATGTTTCTGTTGCTAATTCTTCCATACACAGTAACCCCTCTTGTTTTAGTATATTTATTGACTTGCTTGAGTTGAAACAGATTTTTAAAGAAATGTAGCCCTGGCGAACACACATAAGGAAAGGATCGTTCGTATCGACTCTTTTTTTGTTGCTGTTGTATTTTTTACTTTTTAAAACTATTGTGAAACATTATACAAAAATAAAATAATTTTTCAGTGATTTATGTACTAAATGCATCAATACAAATATGATTATATATAACAAAGAAAACAATCACGTTCTTTATCACTTTCCCTGAAAAACTTTAATAAAAGAGAACGATTTTTTAAAGCAAAGTCGTTATTCCAAGGGAGACAACTATTATTTATTTTTGAAAGTTCCAAGGGAAATAATCATGTTACGGGTATGGTGTCAAGGTTTTCTATCTGATCGCGAAAGTGATCTATCAAGTTATTTATTTCAATGACTCTGTGTCGGTTTCGCTGTACTTCTTCCTCATCATGAATGTTTTTGATGAGTCCCTTCAACCACTGGCGGATACGACTGACAATTTGGTCTTCCCGATTATCGATCTTCTGCAAATGGACTTCATGCGACGATGTCACCGCACTTAACACCGTATCTTTATCGACCAATAACTGTAAAAGAATAAATCACAAAATTATACTTTATATGGCCTACAAAATTGTCTATTTATGAACAGTTAATTGTGTTTAAATACCGATTATCAATATCCATCCGCTCATATTTAAAACTGTAAAAATAATCTCTTTAAGTTTAATTTAAATCACAACGTGACATTATTGATTACGCAGTTTGATCTCTACTGTTTACTGACATACGTCATTGTTTCTTTTTTGCTTTATTTGTTTAACAGCATATCAACTCTTTTGGGTCATTTAATATATAATTATATTAATATATTAATTATATTACACAATTCAAATCTAAACATCTTTTTTGTTTTCATTTTATATACAGCTTTTGTCACTTGTATTTATTTTCTAGAATGAAACCCATTGACATTTTCCGTGTATAAATGTTTTTGAAGTTAATGTTTCAAGAGAAAAAAAGTAAGTTGAATTTTTCTGATTAATTTTTAGAATTAATGACAGCAATGGTTTTAGTTAGACAAATGATTCAGCTCATCTCAATACGAATGCCATAGACTGAGGTCAAGAAGACAATTTCTTAATGTTCTGTTTAGTTCTCAATATCTACAAAAATACTAGAGGGAATTTGACCACAATTTTGTTCTAAAAAATGCAAAAATAAACAAAAAAGAATGTAATTTACTCAGAAAAAAATTCTTGAGAGTGCTGCCATTGAATATTATCGAAATATAAATCTACGCACTGGTTTTTTATCTAATCTCACCTTTTCTGAAAGAATTACTACTTTCCCAAGTCAACATAGATGACAACAAATATGTTGGAAAATCAAAGGAAAACAGTTAAATCCATCACTTCAGGCTTTGAACATGTACAGCAAGAACATCCATCTTATACCATAACAATCTAATCACAATCCAAACAATATTCATTTAAAAAAAAAAAAAATTTAAATTATTGAATATATTTGCTCACCTTACTTTTTATCAGACTTTGAATTATGACACTTTGTGCCCTCCATATTCTTTGGTTGACCTTTCAACAACCAGATGAACATTCATGAACATTATCAAATTTATAAATTTATGAGTCTTAATAAACCAATGACATCCATTGCCTCTGTGTATATAAACAATGTCATAATAAATCCTACATTGATAAAGTCCCTCAGAGGATGAAATGTCTTCCATTGCAGAGCACCTAATAAATAGCCATAATTGTGCTACTAGTTTCAGTGTGGACTCATTTACTGTTCTTAGCAAGTCTCACTTGAATTACCATTTGAAAATGTTGGAGGCCATTTATATTTTATCGTTGAAGCCCTCTCTGTGTAAACAGAAGGACTTCATACTGGCTCTACAACTAATTTCCATCTATGCAATATTTTTCTCTCCCCACCTACACAATACATATTGTCCATCTTTTTGTAGTGATAATTCTATTTAATTTATTAACCTCAAATTAGCTTTGTTGAGTGAGGTTCGAAACAGGTTAGCTAGCCCGTTTTTCAGTTTTACTTTTTATTTATTATCATCATGAGTGGTAATAAAAAATGTTGTCTTTTCATGGCAGTCATAAAGTTTTGTACCACCACAAAACATATCTTTATATATATATATATATATTCATGCATATTTCTTTTAAACATGTTTTGAATATGACAGACAAGGAAAATTTTATTAATTTCTTATTTATTTTTTCCAGAATTCTTACATGTTTCCATTTGGAGGAAGTACAAAAACTTCCCATATCGTACATTGTCCCAAGTGCTTTCAGCCACTTACTTAACCATTTTCAAGGGGTTTTTTTTGTTGTTGTTTGGTGTTAGTTTCTTTTAATGTTTTGACAGTGTGAGATGTATTATTTGTGTGTTTTTTGTTTTTTTTTAATATTAATAGAAGCATTTATTCCAACCATTTGGGACAATGGACAATACAGCCAGTTTTTGTAGTCACTCACTCCTACCAAATGGAAAGATGGAAGAACGCTGGTGAAAATTTTGCATTTACTGAGTTTGTCTATCTTCCTCTCCAAACTACAAATGATTCTTTGCAAGTTGTAGATGTATGAAATTTTCAAAACTTTTATAATGGCTGTGTCCAAGTTTTCAACTTGAATGAGTCATCCTCAAGAGTGTGTAATTAGTATATTATGGGAGAAATTGTGTAAAATATTTTTAATTAGTATATATTTAACATCTACTACAGAAATTAAATGCACCACAATTACAAAGCAATAAAAAGGTTAATATAATATATATTAAACCCTTACAAAAAATTTCCATTTAAGATTTACCATTTATTATAAAAAATTTAAAACCACCAACACCATATTTTTTTTTCTGGAAAGCAAGATTTAAACAATCTTTTTTAATTTAAATTCTATGTAAGTGCTTAACTTAACCCTTTGAGCCTTGCATTCCTGAACAATTTTAACCCTTCTGCCTGAGCTCCTGAGTCAAAAATTCACAAATAATTGGTATGTAATGTTTTATGGTAGATATAAAAATAGTTACAAGTTTTTTACCCACTGTTCAACTGGTGACTGGGCATTAAGTCATTTTTCTCTACCACTGTTCAACCAGTGGCTGGGTATTACGTCATTTTTTTCTACCACCAGTAAAGTGGTGGTCAGGGGTCAAAGGGTTAAGAAAGTAATAGTTTTTTCCACCATTTTACAAATAAAATAATATGAGTATACTTGTCTTTTTATAGCCATTAAAAGAACCACTTACATTACGTAGGTCATCAGATATATCATCATCTAATTCATTTTTGTTTGATTTCTCCAGGTTAATAAGGGCAATTTCCATGATTTTTTCATGGTGCTGGTTTTCCAGATCTCGGCAATGGGACAAAAGAGACTGAACTCCTTCAATAAATGTACCCACCATGTCTTGTAGGTTACGTTCAAAATCTTTCACAACATCCTACAGAAGAGGTTAGAAATAAATAAAAAGGTATAAATATTTTATCAAAGCGCAAGTTTTACAAATACTAGCAATAGCATCGGCATTCCAATTTCACTATTTTATCCAACTTGTTTGGGTACTTGTAACAGCCATACAGCATTGTCTGTTGCTAGTTTAAATAATTTGTGTTCCTTTTTATATTTTTACAGCATATACATGATGGTTTGATTTTTGAGCTTTTGATTCATGTTTTTACATAACATTTTTTTTTTCACCAAGAGGTGTGTGGAGAACCGAATTTGCCCCTCAACAGCAATGAGAGAAGTTTGTAAAAGTGTCTTTTACACAAACGTTATGCACATCAGTTGCATTAGGACATTTTGAGCTGAGAGTTATCTCCCTTGCAGAAGGCAACAGATTTATATATTTAAAGAATCACATGTGAAAACTTTGTGGTAATATGTTGACTTGAACATCAGCAAGTAGTTTAATGACTTATGTTGTAGTTTTTGACAACATGGTTATATAGATATTTAAAGACTCACACGTGAAAACCTTCTAATGATAGTAAGGATGCAAGGAAATATATTGTTATTTTTTGTAACATGATTAAATTTTAATATTTATATATTCAAAAACTCACATATGATAACCTTCAGAAATAGTAAGAATTTAGCAAAATATGTGGTTATTTTAGCATAACTTAGTCATGGAGAAAAACTTAATATTCTTCGATGGTCATCATGTCAGAGTTACCAATGGAGTGGTATGTATATCTACTGAGGAGGTCTCTATACCATCAAAAATGTTTTCAACAAAACAATACAGAATGGAATTAAAATACAAGACGGAGAAATTTTATTAAATAATAAAAGTTTTGCTGTAGAAAAGGTACTCCTTTCATTAACAGCAGAGTCTGAATCTTTTACTTATATGACCAGCTTTAGAAGAGTGCTTTTTTGTCAGTGACAATGACTTTATGTATTAGGCAAAGAAAAAAGGAAGAATTTCGTTTTGCAAGAATGATTTTTTTAAAGCTCCCAGTCAGCTGCTGGTTGCTGCTACTATGTATCTTCTCTACAGCCAGTCATCTATATCAAGGCCTAAACTTAGTGCAGTAAAGATTTAATGAAATATTCTATTATTTTTTATACCATGATTAAGCTAACATTTATATGTAACCTTCTAATAATAGTAAAGATTTAACAAAATATGGCATTATTTTAGCATAGATTTAACATGAAGAAATATAATTATGTCACTATGGTAATCTGAATACATTACTTGTTCTCCTTGTAGGTGCCATGTTCTTTTAGGAGGTGAGTGATCCTAGCCCTCAACAACTTCCTATCCTTTGTAGCTCTTATTAACATTTGTTTTTTCATTATCTTTCCTAATGCATCCATTTACATGAACTTTTTATGTTACTCATTGCTTTCCTCCATTTCTGCTGCCAGTCCTGTGAGTGTCAAACACAACAGAGAATAATTTATTGTTTTGTCTTTTACAGTTTATCAACCTGGAACGTATTTTTGACTGTGAGAACAATTCTTTTTTGAAAGTGAATATTGCATTAACAATATGTTCCAGGTTGATAAACCGTAAAAGACAAATCAATCAATTATCCTCCATTATTAAAAGCACCAATTTTCCTAACAACAAATCAAGCATATGAAAATGACAGTTTGAACTTTGACCCTACCTCCAGTTGATCAACCAACTGCATTTCATACGTGAGCTGTATATCACGAAGTTCATCAACTTTCCCATTATACTCAGCCACTTTGCTGTCATAAACACTTTCATCTGTGATTTGATTCAGGTCTTCGAACGTCTATAAAAAATTTAAAAAATGACATCAATAACATTTCTGATTTTAAGTATAAATTTACTTCTAAAATCATTTTTTTTTTGTTTTACTCAAAATAATTCTTTGTTTTGTAAATATTTCTTTGTTTTCTATGCAATAAAGATACAATAAGAAAATAAAAACCTATAAGTATTTAATTTATTTAATTTTAAATTATAATTAAATCTTGAATTATTTATTATAAAAATATCAAAATTCTCCACCAAGTGTTCCAAAAAATGGCACTCAAGATAAACCTTTCCAAAACAGAAAGAATTGAATGAAAGCAATGATAGAATGTACCAAAAATCCATAAAATACTAAACACTCCAGTTATCTTAATATATTGATCAGTTGTAACAAATTTAGTATAGGTGATAAGGAAACTGAATATAGAATAGATATAAATTGACATATTAATGGAATTTTTTTTTTTGCTCCAAATAAATCCATTTGTAAAACTTTGTTTTGTAAATATTTCTTTGCATTTTCTTATGGAATAAAGATACAATCACGATCATGAGTTCTGTAATCCATTAGGCTCATAGGGGCAGCACATGTACTGTAGCCGCAGTAAAAGTGGTGTGTCTTGGGCAAGTTTGTCTGACGGAGTCCAACCCTCGCCAGGCTGGTTTAAATTCAGTTTTCCCTTCTGTTGAGAGAAAACAAAATTGGTAGTCTATATTCCAAGACAATCTTGGAAAAAACATTGCCAGAAGATTTTATTTTACCATATTTCAGCCAATACAAGGCTCGATACCACTCAAGGTAGAGGGTTAGTGAATGAGGTTGTTGTAAGCGTGTAAAGAGATGAAATAAAAAGTACAAATGTGGATATGTAACAGATGACCCTAGACTTGAAGAGTTTACAAGTATAGAGATCAGAGAAGCATCTTTTTGGGATCTCTTCTATAAAAAGGAACAAGTTAAGTGAAACTTCCTCTTTACTAATGGAATACAAAGGAATGAGAATGAGCAGACCCTGTGTACCTGTCATGGTGGGTCCTAGCTGTGAACTGGAGCATCCAAGGAACATAGATCATCTGAATATTTGCCATCAAAATAGTGATAGAGCAGTGAGAGGCTAGCAAAGTTTCATCTCTGAGAGAGAGTGGTCATTGGGCAGAAATAATCCATCATATAGAAGGCTGCAGAGACGTTTTTGAACTCTGGCAAAGCTAGAAAGTCAGGATTGGATAGTGCCAAATATGGTACCAATGCTCTACTTTGGGGTCTGATCTGTCCCTTGTAAAGATAGAGTGTGGGCAAAGGAGTCAGGTACTTTCTGGAGCACTACAAGGAGCTGACCATTTTTCCAGTATCATTATTAGTGATAGATCGTATAGATGAGTTCCACTTGATGGAAATTGAGAACCAACAGACATTCAAAACATGGGGGGGCTCATTAAGGCTACAAGTTCATGATGAAGGAAAGAAACTCAGGATCTGCTCTGTGATGATGTAACATTACTAGCTTGGGATTTCAAGATATTGGATGCTACAAGCCAGTTCCTCCCCCATTGAGTAGTGCAGTTAGATGGTTATGGAATCAACCAGCCATCATTTGTTGATATGAGAAAACAAAGAAAATGGTAATTGTCTCAGAAAATAAAAACTTACAAGTCATTATTGTCCTGCATTTAAAGATACATTAGTTTATAAGAGATGTTTGTTTTGCTACAAGTCAAACAAGTTTTTCATATAAACATGGCTGCTTCCATTAGCATATCACTGCAATGTTACACAAATGAAGATTGAATTTTCTTAATACCATTTTTTTATGGAAAAATCAAATCTCTGTATTTTAAGAGTTTAAAAAATAAAATACTTTTGCCATATATGGTCTGGTTCCCCTGTTGTTCATCTCGAAGTCCTTGACAAAATCCAAAGAAGGATATCTGCAATGTAGTCAGTCCTGACTTGGCATCTCAATTCCAGTCACTTTCTCACAGACATTATTTTTCCTTCTTTGTATCTTTTCTGCAAATATTTTCATGGCAACTTCTCCGACAAGCTATTTTCCCTGGTTCTATACGAATTTAAGCATGCTACTAGGTTGGCATCTTGGTCCCACCCTTTTACTGTCAAAACAGTTAAATGTACCCACCTCTTCTACTCCAACAGCTTGCACTTCCCAACAGTGGAACTCCCTTCCTCTTACTTGCTTCCCAGATGACTACAATCTTCAAAAATTTAAATGCAACATCAATCATCATCATCTGATGCCTTGATCCCCATTTTTCTTTTTATCCTTTCCTCAATCCCCTCTATATCCAGTTTTTTATCTTACTTTCACTCTCTATAAGCCCCTGCATACTAGCGGCACTCCCACTCTGCTTGTGTAAAATGCTTAAAAAACATAAAACAATAATGATTGGATGGTGTAATGGTTATCAGCACAGAAAAGGGAACTGGCAAGATGAGTTCAAATTTTTATCCTACTGTGTTGTGTTCATTTTTGTAGAAATTATCCTGGGAAAAGTTATGAATCCATCTCTTTTCTCCACCCCAAACTATGGGTCAAATAGTAGACTGGGCCCTCAAACCTTGGTTGGCAGCCAGTTTAGGAGAAATATAAAGCTGAATTCAAGACCATGGAGAAGACAATAAAAAATCCCTTTTGAAAGAATTCATGTTAATTAAAAGATAATTAAAACAAAAGGAATCTATGGAGAGCTACAATTTCCTATATCCAGAAAAGATATGGCATTAAAACAATGCTGATGATATTAGTAATAGAAGTAAAAATGTTGCCAAAATAGAGAATTAATGCTGTTTGGTTTACATTGATCAACACTGGATGAGTTGAATAAAGAAACAAAGTTGATTTTTTACCAGTGCTCATATTGCAATTTTTCTGTTATTATTATTGCATTTTTTTTACCAGACCTTATATTGCAATTTTTGTTCTTATTCATTGCTTTTCTCTAGCACTCCTTACTACGAAATAAAGGGTTCTGTTCAAAATTCCAGTCACTTGAAGAAAGCTGGAGTGTACAAGAGCCGAAACGCTGTGAATATGGGAATGAAGATGAGCATAACAGTCCAAATAATGTAAGTAATCATAATACCTCATCTCAGAGATACAGAGAGATAAAAATAAAATATATAAACAAAAATAAAAAGAATTCAAATTAAAATAAGATATTTTCATTTTCCTTTAAAACCCTTATTTCTCTCTCTCTCTCTCTCTAAACTTCTATTTCTATACTTCTCTCTCAACTAACAAGAAGGCAACACTCAAATAAAGAGAGGAAGAAGAAAAGACTGAAGCCAGCCCAAAAATACCAAAGTTTACAGGATCAGTGCATACTTATTTGTGACTGAAAAATAGAAAAAATGAAGAAAGCTCCATGCATGTTCTGTTATAAAAAAAGAAAAAAGAAAGGAACACCAGAAAATAAGATAATTTTGACCAATCTAAAAAACTGACACATTGAGAATTTTGATGTTAGCCGAAACCAATGTACACACCAGAATCTTGGAGTCTGGTCAAAACAGAAGTAGAAGAGACAGTGAGAGTGATGAACAGAGATGCTACCGTGTAGAAACCAGCCATGCATGACACATGAAGAAGTAGTTAAGAGGTCATCTGCTAATGATATTTCTGCCCTGCTTAATGCCAAGAAAAATACAGTAAATTGGCACTGACCTATTTCTAATATTGCTACTACCCCTATCATGGTCTGACTTCAAAACACCATGACTACTAGAATGAAGATATAGTTCCTTGGTAATAAAAAAAACAAACCTTCTTTTGTGTTTCTTTTGATTATTCAGATTTACACTATTTACATTGTTCAGACTCTTGTCCCCATCTTTATTGCCATATTCATAACATTTCAGCCATTGTACACTCCAACTTTCTTCAGGTGATATACATTGGAATTTCGAACCAAACCCTTTATTTAGTCCACAGAAGTAGATTTTTCTAATTCTACACAACATCCTTTTTTGAGATATCTCAATATCAGTTAATTCTCTTTAGTAACTCAACTCACCAAGTTTTTTTTACGCCCTCTGCAGTGGCCAGGTTTTGAATTCACAACTCTTTGAGTCAAGTCACTTTTTGGATTATTCAACCAACGCTTCTCTACTTAGGGCTCACAGCAAAGGGAACAATAAATTGGAGAGTTGAGTTACTAAAGAGAATTAACTGATAATAAGATATCCAAAAAAGTCATGATATGTGGAATTAGAACAATCTACCCCATAGACTAAATAAAAGGTTTGGTTTGGAATTCCAACATATACCACCTGAAGAAAGTGTACAACAGCCAAAATGTTGTGAATATAGCAATAAAGATGAGGACTACAGACCAAATGATGTAAATAGTTACAATACCTTATCTCAGAAATATAGACAAATATTGCTAAAGATGATGGAAAAATGGTCAGTTTCTTGTAGTGCTCCAGAAAGTACCTGACTCCTTCAGACATGCTCTATCTTTACAAGAGTCAGATTAGATCAAAGAATATTGCTGCCAGATCTGGGCTGGAGCTTCCCAATTCTCACTTTCCAGCCTTGATAGTGAACAAAATGTCTATGTAGCCATGTTGGTGATGAATTCCACCCTACAATCCCTTACCAACAGAAGAAACATTGCTAGCCTCTCACTGCACTATTGCTATTTTCCAGACAAATATTCAGACAAGCTACACAGGGTCAACTCATTCTCATTCCCCTCATATTCCATTGGTAAGGCAGAAGTTCCACTCAGGAATCTTCTTCCCAAGAACTGATACTCTGAAATAGACTCCTAAAAGAATGCTTCCAAATCACTACCATCTTAAACGTTTCAGGTTTAGAGTCAACCATTATCTAGCCTTTATATCTTCATAATATCCACTTCTTTCTCTCCTGCAATAACCTCCTTCAATCACCCTCTACCTTGAACGGCTCTTGAGACTTATATAAGGTGAACAATAGTATAAAAAATATATAATTCTTCAAGTGAAAACTGTCATCAAATATATTGATATTTACTAAGTTTATCTTATCTTGTACAAGGGTCACAATTTTATGGGAACTTAGTAAGAATTAAACTTACTAGAAACAGTAGATGAGAGCAAACTACAAGCTATAGCTCTACAGCAGGAGCCCAAGAAGTCAAAATGCATTCAAAAATACAAATAAAGAGTAACAAAAAGTAAAAACCTATAAGAAAGCTATGGTAATTTACTAAGCATAGCTTAGATGTGGTACAAGGCTAAAAGTATAGAGCACCCAGTGAGGATCAACCCACATGAAAGGTATATTTATATATTTGAATTATTTCACAAGAAATTATTATATGCATAAAATTTAGGCAATTTATTCTCAATCATTTGTATGCATTAATATGGGATAATATAATATCTATAAAAAAGAATGTATAAACATAAAAATATTAATTATAATATCTATAAAAAAGAATCTATAAACATAAAAATGTCTTAAAATATTTGTCGGACTTTGTCCATTTCATAATGTGTGACGTCATTTGTTTACATTTGGATACTCATTGAGCAGATATGAATGTACATGAGCAAATCATGGAAAATTGCAGTTTAAAAACAGTAAAATCGACCTTGCTAACTGAATGCTCCTCTGTGGCAAAATTGGTAAAAGCACGGCTATATGATTGTTCCGTATAGGATACAGGTTCAATTCTTGTTGGAGGATGCATATTTTCTATGATAATTTCTCGGACATTCAGGCCAGTAAATGTTATTAATACTGTTTATTATAAACAGAGCATTTACTTAAATATTTGTATCTATAAAAAGAATGTATAAACATAAAAATGTCTTAAAATAATTGTCGGACTTTGTCCATTTCATAATAATATAATATGCAAATTTCTATCCATTATAATAATGTTAATTAAAAGAGGATGTAATTTACTAAGGTAAAAGTGCACTGATTTCCAAATCTTCCATGATAAATTTGCATCCAGGTCATTATGATATTTCACGTTTCTTAACAAATTGTTGTCATAATGTGGGATAATAAAAAACATCAGTGATAAAAAACAAAAACATTGGAAAATCAAATGTGATCAGCTGAGCTGTGTCTAGACATGTTGAACCCCAGAATTAAAATTTAGCATTCTGATATCTTCAGCATTTCCACTCAGTGCATAATTATAACCAACATTCCTCTCTTCCTCCCTCCTCCCATATATATATATATATATATATATATATATATATATATATATATATATATAATTCCATCAATAAGAAAATTACTTTAGTCCAATGAAGTCCTTTTAGTAGAGTATTTTTTTTTCCATTTTGTCATTCAAATACCCAACATCTGCAAACTGAGAATAACCACATGTCAGGCAATAAAATTTTGTTGGAATTCAGCCAAGCTCAGATCATTTATCAAAAATGTCAAATTGCTAAATGAAATATTTTACTAGCATCACCAAGAAATATATGGAAATTTAACTGAAAGAATATACAATTTATCTGTCAAGTTTTTAAATATGCGATATTTTCTAGTCAGAAACTGATGAAAAGATATTTTTTTACAATGTCAGGTTCCCAGAGAGAATAAAATTCAGAAGTTAATCATGACTGTCAGCAAACTTAAAGAAAAATACGAAATGTATCCCCCTCCCCCCAGCCTCTCCACATTTGAGTGGGAATTGGTAAACCCATCCCCTAAGATGGATAGATGGTTATAAAGAAATTTATAAGAAAAAGATTGATAAATAAATAGATATGAACAGACATAGATATGAACAGACATAGATAGATAGATAGAAGACCACAACTGATAGATATGATCTTCTTCACTACACTATACCCATCCAGTGTTGCACACAGAGCCTTGCTGGGGTTTTACGCTTTCAAGGTCATTAAGTGTGCATGAATCTTCAAGATTGGAACAAACTAGCCCCATAGTTTGTGATTGCTTGCATTGTCAGTTCGTATCCACATTTGTGGCATATCTACATTTCTGAAGGTTGGCTCTACAGTGACCAACAGCTGTTTGAAGGTGATTCAGGAAGGAGGACCAGAAAGGCCAGGCATTCTGTAGATCTGAGAGAGAACCTGTGTTCCATGTTGTTAAGGTGGTGGCACTACAGGGATAGACACTGACTTGGAGCTCTGTTGTTTAGTGGTTCGATTGAATGTAGAAAGCTATGTCTTCACTTGAGCCCCTTTGTCATTGGAGTGGATGACGAGGGTCAGTTTTCTGCTTCCACTTCTCAAGGGAGTGGACTGTCCTTCTGATGTAAGGGAGAGTAACGCCAGTAAGCAAGTCGAGTTTATCTACTTTAGTTGGCTTGAGACACCCAGTGATTGATCTGCAAAAAGAGTTTAAGGCAGGGTTGATTTTCTTTGCATATGATAATCTGCTCCACATTCATGTGTTATATTCTTCCATGGAGTAGCAAAGGATTAGGGTTGTGGTGCAGATTCTACCAGCATCCAATTTGGCATTAGCTAGCTTCTTTGGGATATTGTCTTTTGATCTGACCATGGCTTTAGTCTTTGCAATGTGGTCCTTGTATATAAGTGATCCCATGGCAGACAGGCTTGGAAGTGTACTCTAACCATTTTTACATACCAGTTGATCCTGGGCTGGTGGTTAGCTACCCTGTTCTGTAGGGGAAGGCACTGGTTTGGGTCTTATTTGAGTTGGTTTGAAGGTGGTTGACAGCACAGTATAAGATAAGGCTGCCCAGAGCACTGACAAGTAAGGTCCCAACTTTCCTGAATGAGTGTTTCTGGGATTCAATGCAGAGATCAATGCAGAAGCTCCTAGTATTTGGTTGGATAGGCTGATCATTTGTGTAGATATTGAAGAGGAGGGCAGTAAGCACATTACCTTGAGGGAGACCATTCTTCTGTGTCCACAATTGGCTGCATTTCCCACTGAGGTCCACAAAGAATCATCTGTTTGACAAAATGTTACTGACAAGGAGAGTAAGCTTCAAGTATCCAATCATCTCAAAGAGCTTCTCTGTGAGGATCCTGAGATTGACAGTGTCATATGCTGCAGAGAGGTCAACAAATGCAGAACCTGGAATCTCACCCTTCTCAAACCCATCTTCAATGAATTGTGTTAGGTTCCAGGAATTGACAAGTGCAAGATTTTCCAGGTCTGAGGCCTGCCTGTTCTGGAATAAGCTTAGCATCTATGGACAAAGCCAGACGGTTTAAGATGAGGCAGTCAAAGAGCTTGTAGGTGTGGTAGAGGAGGGAGGTTGGCCTTTAGCTCTTGGGGATGGCAGGATATGTGAGAGCAACTGTGCACAGCTGCTTAATCTGCTTTTAACAAGCTTTGTTGTTTTTCATGGCTTTGATTGTTGTATCCAGTTCATTTCTTGTGAAGGGCCTTGTGCAGCTGAAGGGTTCTTGGCTGGACATGTCTGGTATCTTGCACAAATTTGGTCTCTGAGGATGGTGATCTGGGTTACCTCAGCTGTTGTGTAGCAACTGGTAGACAACCTGGTTGGCTGTAACTTGAAACCTTGGCTGGGACTTTGTGTAGTCATTTCCCAATAACCATATAGTCTTCCAGGCTTTCCTGATGCTATGTATCATGTCCTTACTTTCAATCAACTCCTGCCGCCAATTCTGCCTGCCCTCTATGACAGAGTTAAACAGGGTATCCCCACATTCCAAGCTGTCAGTATCAAAGGGGTCATCTTCAAAAAGTTGGGTGTACTCTTTGTAAAGCTCCTTTGCATTGTTGGAGAGGCCCTGTATATGGTTGGCAAGACATACTTGGGGGAAAATAGTCTTCCTAGAGAAATCCTTGAGCAACTCGACAAAAGCATTGTAGCTGTTGGGGGTAGCAAGTAGATAAGTAATGGATGAGTCCAGGTCATCTGCAAAGCTCTTCCAGTAGGTTGAAGAGCCATCTGAAGGGAGTGGTATGAGGTGAGATGACAGCATTCATCTTAAGACCAATAGGTCAATGTTGGAAAAGAGGAATTGGCTCTAGCACAAACTTCTCATATAGATTCACAATGTTGGTTGAGGCAAAAATCAAGCCAGGGTTGTATCCCCTTCTTGACCTTGAGTTGTTGAAGGATGGAGGTAGCTTTGCATCATGAATGAGTCATAGTTAATTTATGTCAGCCCAGTTCTTTAGGAGATTGCCATGTTTATTTTTTTCAGCATAATCCCAGGTGATACTGTGGCTGTTAAAGTCACCTATGACTATGTTGATGCGGCCATTGGTTACATCTGGCTGAATGTCAAATATTGTTAGGATGAAAAGATACTTTTTATAATATTAGGTTCCCAGAGAGAAAAATTTTGAAAGTTAATCATGACTGTCAGCAAACTTAAAGCATGATGAAAAGAAAAGTATGAAGCGCAACCCCTCCTCCAGCTTCTCTACATTTGAGTGGCAATTGGTAACCCATCCCTTAAAATATCGTCCTAGGATGGACAGATGGATATAAAGAAACTTATAAGAGATAGATAGATAGATAGATAGATAGATAGAAACAGATTGTGATAGAGAGATAGGAAAAAACTGAAATAGATAGCTATGAAAGGACTGAAATAGATAGATAGATAGATAGATAGATAGATAGATAGATACAGATTGTGATAGAGAGATAGGAAAAAACTGAAATAGATAGCTATGAAAGGACTGAAATAGATAGATAGATAGAAACAGATTGTGATAGAGAGATAGGAAAAAACTGAAATAGATAGCTATGAAAGGACTGAAATAGATAGATAAATATGAAAAAACTAAGATAGATAGATAGATAGAGAGATATGAAAAGACTAAAACAGATTGATAGATAGATATGAAAATGCTAAAATAGACATGAAAAGACTAAAATAGATTGATAGATTATGAAAAGGCTAGAATATATAGATATGAAAAGACTAAAAAAGATAGATAAATAGATAGATGTGAAAAGACTAAAACAGATTGATAGATATGAAAAAACTAAAATAGATAGATATGAAAAGAATAAAATACATTAATAGATAGATATGAAAAAACTAAAATAGATATGAAAAGACTAAAATAGATAGATATGAAAAGCCTAAAACAGATTGATAGATATGAAAAAACTAAAATAGATAAATAGATAGATATGAAAAGCCTAAAACAGATTGATAGATATGAAAAAACTAAAATAGATAAATAGATAGATATGAAAGACTAAAACATATTGATAGATATGAAAAAACTAAAATAGATAGATATGAAAAGAATAAAATACATTAATAGATAGATATGAAAAAACTAAAATAGATAGATATGAAAAGAATAAAATACATTAATAGATAGATATGAAAAGGTTAAAATAGATATGAAAAGAATAAAATAGATTGATAGATATGAGAAGACTAAGATAGATAGATAGATAAAATTCAGTTACCCTCTACTAATTTTCCACATTGATACTTTCAACTGTAGATGGATGTTACAAGCAAACATGTGGACATCAATTTAAGGAAGCAATGAACATCAAATGTCAAAAGCACAAATGTCATTTCTATTCAAATGCATTATAATACACTTTTCTTTTAACAGTTGATATACAAACAGTAAACAGTTAGATGAAAGAGAAGTTCAACAAAGATGTGTTTTCTCACTGAATTTGCTTAACCTGTAGAACAAGACAATTGTCAGCAGATGAAAAGACCTCCCAGATTTTATTATTATTAGCAGATGTAACCTTAACAACATATGCTACACAGACAACACTGTGTTGATGGCAGACTCAGAAAGCTAAAAGTACTATTCAACAATGTTGTCAAGAAAAGTGAGAAAAAGAGTTCAGCTATTAACTACAGAGAAACAAATAACATGGTTGTCAAGCAAAAAGAACAAGCCGAAGAGATAGTTACATGAGATGAAGACCATAACTTTTAAGCTGAAAGTATATAATCATATATCAACTTCATGTCAGCTTTTAAACTACCACTGAAAGTCTTTTAGTTAAAATCAAGAATTGATTTTACTTTACACTATTTACATTATTCAAACTATTGTCCTCACCTTTGTCGCCATATTTATTACAACATTTTGGCCTTCTTCAGGTGGTTGGAATGTCGAACTGAACCCTTCATTTCGACAACTGGGGTAGACTGTTCTAGAAATTCATACACAGATGTCCCTAAGGACACATGGCACAGTGGATAAAGGCGTTAGTTCGATCCAGTGACTGGATACAAAGAGTATGAGTTCAATACCCGGTTAAGGCAGTGGAGAACTTGGTGAGGGGAATTAACAGGAGATAACTGATAACTGACATCCATTAGACATGGCATGTGGAAATAGAACAGTCTACCCCAGTGAGCAAAATAAAGGGTTCAGTTTGACATTCCAACCACCTGAAGAAGGCTGGAACATACAACAGCTGAAACGTTGTAATAAATATGGCAACAAAGATGAGGACAATAATCCAAATAATGTAAATAGTGTACATAATACCTCATCTCATAAATATAGACAGCTACTGATTTTATTCTGTATTAATATTATTAACAGGACCCTCTTTTCAATTTTGATAAATGTCCCAATTTGAAAAGATGTGTAGGGGAGTCATAACTGGGTAGTGAATAATTATAACTACACCCCACTAACATTTATTTATATAAAAGATACTCATAAAAAGGAGAAAGAACAAGACATGGAAACAATAAAATGAGTATTATTTATTATTTGGTTATCTGGCATTGGAAACATGAGAGGCAATAATCCTGAGTAAAATATTAGTTTGGGGTCAAATGTAGATCAAATATGGATCAAAATCCAACAGAAGCATAGTGTATATACAGTCTTTCTTAAATTTTTTTTTTTTTTTTTTTTTTTATAGAAGCATGTAATGAGTGTCCAGATAAGTGAGTTGGAAAAATACAAGAAATGTCTGCAGTTTTCAATTTTTTTAAATATAAATGTTACTATTATGGCCTGATAAGGAAAAGGAGACAACATTTTTGTAGCTACATGTTTTGATGGCCTGTCCATGTTTGATTGCTTGTTCAATAGAGAAAATGCAACATGTTTGTGTGTATAGAGAAGAAAAGTGGGGTCAATTCTCATTTGTTTAGAATAAGTGAATTAATGATAATTATAATTGATATATTAATTTTTGACACTACAATTAATTTCAGTTTATTTTTTTATGGACACGACACCATGACAGTATAATTAATTTTTTATTTATGTATTTCTTTATGGACACAACACAGATGTAATGAATAATTAATCTACAGAAATTATTGCCAAGAAAATGTTTGACTATTTTTGATGAGTGGACCAATCCATTTAACTATTCCCAATAATACTGTTACTTTGTTTCTAATCATTTCACCCCAAGTAAGGCAATAAAGCCACTAAGACACAAGGGGGTTACTGAGTGTAAAAGAATAAGAAAAAGAAAGACACTTTTAAGGAGGAAGAGCAATAAAAGAAGAGGAATCAAAAAGACAGTAGATAACGATTGACATGGCATTTAAATTTTTGAAGATCAAAATTGGCTGAGAAGAGAGTCCCACAAGCAAGAAGTGCAAGAAAGAAACTGTTAGCAAAGAATTACAGCTACATCTACCCAATTCAACTGTAAAATGATGAGACCTTGCTGCCAATCTAGGTTTGTGCTTAAATTCATAACGTCTAGGTACTATAGAGCAATGTTGATCAGAATAATTACTATGAAAGTATTTATAGAAAAAGCACAGGGAAGCTATGTTACAGCAGTGGGAAAGTCACTGAAGCTGGGATGTTAAGTCAGATCCAGTAGAATTGCAGACTCTTCTTTGAAGTTTATCAAGAATCTCTATATAGCAGGAACACTGGACTATATGTGACAGCAATATTCTAAGCATGGACAAATAGTAGACTTATAAATAAGTAATATAAATTCTAGAGAGAAAATTTGTCTAGGATGACACAGTGAACCAACCTTCCTAGCAGCAGACCTAGCAATTGATTCAATATAATCTTTCCACTTCATGTCAGTAGAAAACTTTAACCCAAGAAGGTACAATGAGTCACTCACCAAAAAGAGAACTCTCAGATGATTGATAGAGAGCAGTTTTGTTTTGTTGTTAAAATTAATAAGCCATTCCTTGCCCCAATTAACAGCAGATTTAAGTCACTAGTGAGACCAGCTCCCATTTTCACCTAATTGAACCAATCAGTCTTACTTTTAAGACAGGAGTTATATTACTATTATTGTAATTGATATTGTATAGTTATTCACATTGAATGTAATACTTCCAAAAATAGTTATGTGATCAATCTTCCATTGTAAACACTTAAGTTTCAAATAGAACAGGTGGTTGGAATAAAAGGGATAGCTGGGTGTTTTGATAATTTTCGTTCTTCCTTTTCCTAGAATGGTTATAGACTAAATTGAGGGGTAGGGCTAAATTTCCTGAATATTTAACAAAAGAGTTGGTTAGAATAAGGATGTCCCAAGTGGATATTTTCTCTAAAAAGGAATTAAATATTGTGTATTTTCAGCCAATACACTTTTTATTGTTACTTTCCACAAATTAACAAGTTCAAATGTTTTGGTTTTGTTACAATTTTAAAATGTCAAACCCTATGAGATATTGTGTTATGAGTTTTTTTTTAAATATTTTTAATTTCTTAAGATGTTTCACATACAAAATTCTTCTACCATTTTTGTTCATTTAGTTTACAAAATACACCTTTCTAACCCACTGGGGTTGGGGTATCAGTGCTGCTTTATAACCAGAATTATCAAGGGTTTTGGATCTTCCAACATCAGATCCAGTTCACCTTCGAACAAACCACTTCAAACACTTTCATTTTCATTATCATAATTTGATTGTTGGTTTTGAAATTTTATAAGTTTTAGTGATGTCATCATCAAGCAATGGTCTTCAGCCATTGATCAACTGCACTTTATTTAGTTTTAACTTTAAGCTGTTGTTTCTGGTTTTTTTTTTACAGAATAATCTGATAAAAGATCTGGTAACTTGTATTTTGTACTTGTTTGTCTGAGGAATTAATGGAGTTTAATCACTTTCTGTTATTCTTGCCAACACCAACAAAATGAAAACATATTTTCTATATAAATTGTAACAAATATCTTCAAGAGAAACTATTCCCTAAAATATTTCTACTTGATTTCATCACATCTTAGCAAATATAAATATTTCAGATTTTTATGTATTTTTTTTTTAATTTGATAGTTTTGTGTTTGTTTTTGTTTTTCATTTGCTTTTATTTTTGCAACAAAAACATTTCTAATGGATTTAATTCGTCTATCCCATAATACCCTTACTCGCCTTATTAAAACATTTTCACATTTGGGAAAATATTTCACATCAGAAGTTGTCTACCAATTTTGATTCCTCTGACGTTATATGAGGGAGGATGCCCAAAAGTTCTTGACCTGACTCACTTCCCAGAATCAGCCAATTTGAACAACCATCAGAAATATTTTTTAATCTCTCGTCATTTGAGCCAAAAACTTTGCACATCCCCCTTGCAAAATACATATGATACAGCAAAAAAGATGGACTTTGAATCAAGATTAACCGACAATATGGCAGATGATTCATCCAGCAGAACAAACAATTTCTACTTTTGGGTATTACTCCACACATATGTTATTTTCAAGCCAAACTCTGCCTGTTGAGAGATGAATCAGAGCATTTGGACTTTGTAAATTCCCTCTTTTTGAAATGCAGTCAACCAGTCATTAATAACACAGTCAGGAAACAGAGATAATAATCTACACGTGTAAAATCCAAGTCAGCCATTGGGTGGGGGGTCCATCTTCACATCAAATGTGTTAATTTTAAATAGAAACTTTTTTTATTCAGACAATTCAAATTTATTCCACATACACAATGCCAGCTTTATTTGGCACAATTTTCTAAAAAAAATGCTTTCAGGCTGCAACAAAATATCTATTTTTTATACTTTACTAATAATATTATATGTAGATGACACATCTGCTATCAACACAGATGACACAGTGTTGATAGCAGATGCAGAAAGGAAACTACAGGAACTCTTACAAAAAAAAGGAAAGCAAGAAGACAGCAAATGGAATCGACCAACATGCAAAAAACAAATTTATGATGCCAAAATCAAGCAAGTACAAAAATTTAAATATCTAGCAAGTGTTTTAACAGGGAGCAGAAAATGCAACACATCTGAAGGCACATTGGAATAGCAAAAGATGCCTTCCAAAAGCTAAGGAAAGGATTAAGAATCCTAAAAATTTCATTAAAAAAAAGAAAAAAAAGAAAAAAAGGAGTACTGAACTGTTATGAAATATCACTCCTTCTATATGGAAGTGAATGCTGTACAATCTCATTATAAAAGAAGAAAGGATTTGAAGCAACAGAAATGTGGTTCTACAGAAGGATGCTCAGACTACCATGGACTGAACGTGTGAGCAACAATGAAGTGTTAAGAGAGATGGAAGCAAAAAGGACACATATACT